CGTGGAGAATATTATTTACAAGTCGAATGATTCTCCACTATGGAAATCATTAGCAAAGATATGTGATAAGTTCCAAAAGAATATTAAGTGTTAGTTTAGGGACGATATAAGAGTCAATTTTTGGCTTGACCATTGGACTTCAATAAAATAACTTTTTTTCTTCAATTTGAACTTAGAGAATATGAGTGTGGATACTAATTTATCTGTTAAAGATATTGTCCATAGAGAATGAAATTGAAATCTAACTTACTACATAATTGGTCCAAAAGAATATTAAGTGTTAGTTTAGGGACAATATAAGAGTCAATTTTTGACTTGACCATTGGACTTCAATAAAACAACCTTTTTTCTTCAATTTGACCTTAGAGAATATGAGTGTGGATACTAATTTATCTGTTAAAGATATTGTCCATAGAGAATGAAATTGAAATTTGAAATCTAAGCTTGATAACTTTGCTCCATATATAGGTATTCATAAAGGTGATTACCCTCTCTCTATATTTTCTTGTTATATGGATGAATTTGTTGTCACATATTATTGCTTATAAGGTTGATGCAGGTTATTAGAAGTTTGTATGTGCGGGAATGGGAAAGCCTTAGGTCTTTCATCTCCTTTTTCAGATGACATTCTCTTTTTTGTAAAGGCTACCATATAACAATCTTATTATATCAAACACCGTCTTGATTAATTTTTTCAAGCCTCCTCCTAAAAGATTAATTCTAAGAAGACTTAAATTTATTTCCCAGCCAATGTAGATGCCCAACTTCAGTATAAGATCATGCAACATACATGTTTTAGAGAAGCCCCAAACTTGGGAAATCATCTTGGGGCAAACATTGTCCATGGTAGAAGCTCTAAAAACATATTTAAGCATATCATTGGAAAGGTGCAAAGGTGAATGAATGGTTGGAAACGTAAGTGCTTGAGCTTGGTCGGTAGAATTACCTTGTGTAAATTGATGTCAAGTTTTATCCCTTAATTTCATATGTAGCATGTCAAAATCACCATAATTATTTTTAGTGAGTTGGAAAAACTTAAAAGAGGGTTTATATAGGGAGTCACATAGTTAACCCACAAGGTTCAACTGATAAGTTGAAAGATTTGTTGTATGCCTAAGGACTTTGGTGGCTTAAGCATCAAATAAATGTAGTTAATGAAATATGTTATTTTGGTTCAAACTATTTGGTATTTATTGACTAAACCTAGTGATGTATGGTGTCAGGTGTTCATTAATAAGTATGATAGAAATCAAAACTTCGTGGAGAATCTTATTTACAAGTCGAATGATTCTCCACTATGGAAATCATTAGCAAAGATATGTTATAAGTTCCAAAAGAATATTAAGTGTTAGTTTAGGGACGATATAAGAGTCAATTTTTGACTTGACCATTGGACTTCAATAAAACAACTTTTTTTCTTCAATTTGACCTTAGAGAATATGAGTGTGGATACTAATTTATCTGTCAAAGATATTGTCCATAGAGAATGAAATTGAAATCTGAAATCTAAGTTACTACATAATTGGTCGAATGATGAGATATTTATCTCATTATGGTTAGTCTCCCTCCCCCCCCCCCCCCCCCCCCCCCTTTTCTTGAAGATGTCGATAAAAAGTTAGGGGTTGAGTGATAATAAAAATCATGTTTTTTATATAAAAAAATGGCACAAACGGATTAACATATGAAGCTCATCCATTCTTAAGGTGAAGGAAATTATTGTGCAAATTGGTTAGTCAATTATAACTTTAAGGTGTGCTAACATGTGTCTTAAGAACACAAATTAAGAGTTTAATGTAAAAAAATAAAATTCTTAGAAATTGTACATTGTTTTAGTTAAAATTTGACTATTAATTTTTCAATTATAACTTTGTAGATTTTTAAAATATGTCCTAAAACACATATTAACATTCAGGGGGTCCCGGTGGGTGTTTGAGAGGAGCGGTGACACAAGGCACCAACTTTTTAAGGGCACCAAAATTTTGAATGGTCCTAAAGATATTTTTGGTAGGCTCTTTTCATCCTCGCATTACATTCATTACTGTGCTAATAAAGAAAACCAAGATAGGAGTTGACTTGTTTATTTAAAAGAATTAGATAAAGTTTTTTGTTTCTAAACCAAATCACTTAGCTCAAGAAGGTTTCAATGATTGGTATCGTCTTACAATTAGGCTTAAATAACATGAATTAAGTGATGCATACATAGATTTTATGAACAAATGGATTGACTTACAAATCAAATTTCAAAAAAATATAACAATCGATAAACATCTTCAAAAGCTTATAAGAAAAGAAAAAGAGCATTGAAAGAATGTTTTGGTTAGTATAATTTTTATTGTTTGATATCTTTCTAGACAAAATTTAGCTTTCTAGACAAAAATAACAAGATCAGTGTACAAAATAATGGGAACTTTTTTTTTCTTCTTGTTGAGATGATTGGCGAATGAGATTCTATTATACAAAGGCACCTTGATCGCATCAAGAATAACGAAATTAATTCCCATTATCTTAGCCATAAGATCCAAAATGAATTGATTAATATGTTAGGTAATGAAGTTAAAAGTGTAGTAATCTAAAAGATCAAAGAAGCGAAATACTTTTCTGTGATACTTGATTGCAATCCTGATGTAAGTCACCAAGAACAAATGACTCTCATACTACGTGTGGATGTTTCTATAAGTCCAATAAAGATAGAAGAGTTTTTTTTTATAAATTTTTTTTAAGTTGATGATACAACTGGTCAATGTTTGTTTGAAGAATGACAAAATATTTTAAACACTCTTGGTCTTGATATTAATAATGTGAGAGGGCAAGGTTATGATAAAGGATCAAACATGAAAGAAAAATATCAAAGTGTATAAAAAATATTAGATATAATTCCTAGAGCATCGTACACACCATGTGGTTGTCATAGTCTTAACTTGACACTATGTAACATTGCAAATTCTTGTTTTAAAGCTAGAGATTTTTTGGAGTACTACCGTGTCTTACACTATATTCTCTCATTCCGCAAAGCGTTGGAAAATTTTAAGAAATAATGTGAAAGGGTTAACTCTGAAACCATTATCACAAACACGTTGGAAAAGCCACGTGAATAGTGTAAATGCAATTAAACTCAAGCTTTAGATATAAGAGAATCTTTACTTCAACTAGCTAAACAAGATAATGATCCAAAGTTTAAGAAAAAAGCTGAATCTTTAGCACATCATGAAACTGGAAACTTTGAGTTTTTACTAGCTATGACTATCTGGTTTGAGTTGTTATTTTTTGTTAATAAAATTAGCAAAATTTTACAAAACAAAGACATGCGAATTGATGTGGCTATACAGTTAATAAAAAGTTTGATTACTTGAAAAAATATAGAGAATCTGGTTTTGCAAAGACTATTACTAGTGCTGAAATAATTGCGAATGAAATGGACAATGTGCGTTTACTTAAAAATGTCAAATTCGTAGAAAGAAACACTATGATGAAAATCCATTTGAATGCACACAATCAAACCTTGAGTTAACTAAGGAGTCTTTTAGGATTCATTATTTTTTATACATTGTAGATCAATCAATTGACTCACTTTATAAATGATTTGAGCAATATAGCACATGTGAGAATATTTATGGATTTTTGTTTAATAGTAGTATTGAAAGATTTAAGTCATTTTCTGATGAGAACTTGAATTTGTCTTGCATAAATCTTGAATTTTTTTTGAAACATGGCAATTCTTATGATTTTGATGTTGAAATTTTATATAAGAATTAAAAGTCATTATAGAGATTTTAACAGTTGAATCAAAATCTAGTTTTATGATATTGAGTTCTCTTAAGACATTCAATTGTTTTCCTAGTGCATGCATAGCTTATAGAATAATATTAACTATTTCTGTTACTGTTGCATTGGCTGAGAGGTGTTTTTCAAAATTAAAATTGCTAAAATCTTATTTGCGATCGACAATGTTGAAGATTAGATTAAATAGTCTTGCTTTGATTTCAATTGAAGATGATTTTTGAAAGAATCTTTGATTTTAATCAGATTACTGATGATTTTGCAGCGAAAAAATGCTAGAAGGATGATATTAACAAATTAATAGCAAGAGATTGCAGTTACTATAGAAATTGGAATGCTATTGATACATGTTCGGATTGATAGAGACATTATAACTAATTTTGTCATAATTTTATTTTAATTTTTATTTGATGTAAACTTTTCAATATTAATGTAATTTTTTTTATACTTTTTTTACAATTATACATTTATAATTATATAACTTATAAATCTGATAAAAAATTTATGAATTAAAAAAAATATACTAAATTCATAATTTCAACAGAATATTTAAAATTCCATGAACAACTCTGATAGCATTACCCATAACTCTATTTTATTTTGAACAAAAATAAACTCTTCATTCTTTCAAATCTCTATACAAATAGATTAAAACACAAATAAATTAAATTAAAGATTATGTTAGTTGATAATATATCCATAGTCTTTTTTTCCTTTGTCTTTTTTTTGGGCCTTTTACCAAAAATGTTTTTTTTTCTAACTTCTATTATTTAACTAATATAATTCTTTAACAACTTATCTACTAAAATACTATATGGAAAATATAATTTTTTTATGATATCAATACTAATAGTTCTAGAGAGAATATGTAAAAATAGTAATATTTGGACAAAATTATTATTACAAGTACATTTTAATATATTTTATCAATAATATTCATTAATAAACTTTCTTATAATGGTTAATAATAAATTATTGACTATTGGTATGAATTGAATAGTGGTATCGCAAATAATACCGTTAACGTTCGGATTTATCCACGTGTCTTATTCTCCCGCTCCGTCCATCTATCCGTTATCTCTCCCTTTCTCTCTCCTCTTCCGTCTCTCATTCTCTCTCTTCTGCAATTCTTCTCCATTGAATAAACCGAAATTCTTTCTTCATTGAAAAGAAAAATCTAAAATAGGAGAAAAAAATCAATACATACATTCGTTATTGTGACAATGGGTAAGTTACTATGTGATTCAACCACTGCCGCTGAACCGTTTCAAGGTTCGCCGGCGGCGGCACTGCCATGGATCGATTCCAAATCTCCGACTCCAATGGAGGCCATGGGAGCCGTAGATCTCGTCGTTCCGATGAATCTTGCGAACGAGGCTTTCACCAGCGGCGGCTGGGAGGACGTGGTTGGTTTGGAGGAGTCGCAGAGGCGTCACCTCCAGAGGCTTCACGCTAAGGGCGTTCTTTGGAAGCCTCCGGAGACGGAGGATTCGTCAGATCAAAGATCCGTCGTCTTCCGTTTATCTTACGGCGGCGAGGTTTCCTCCGACGGAAACTGTCTTTTCACGGCGTCGCAGAAGGCGATGGCTGTTGAGGATGTTGATTCACGGGAACTGAGACGGAGGACGGTGAGGAGGTTCTTGGAAGATTTTGGATCTGTGAGTTTTGAGGAGGGAGAAGCGATCGATGACGCGATTCGGCATATGTATTCGCCGGATCTGAGGTTTGGTTGGGGTATTCATGTTGTTCAGGAGGTGAAATTGTTGGCTAAGAAGGAGGATCGGTTTTCTCTTGATTCTGCCATCAATGAACTCATCCACCTCGGCATGCAAAGGTATTGCGTGCTTATTTGCCGTGAATCTTGTCTTTTCTTTCGAATCAAATTAATTAGATCAAAGATTCATTGATAGAATTTTCATAATCGAGGGTTGTTCAATTTCTAGGGTTTTAAAATTGTTGAAAAATTAGGCCTAGAAGTTTACATTGTATGTTAGATCTGAAATTTGATAACTACAATTGTGTTCGAATCAAATCGATTTGCTCAATGATTCATTGATTCATTGATAGAATTTTCATAATCTGAGGGTTTCAAAATTGTTGAAAAATTAGGTCTAGAAGTTTACATTATGTAAGATCTAAAATTTGACAACTACGATTGTGTCATGAAGAAGATTTTCTTTCTTGATCACATTTTGGTTTGAGAAGTATGAAATTTCTTATTGATGTTTATTACGTATTGTTTTAGCTGTTATCTTTACTGTTTTTTTTTTCTTGATTGAAGAGAAATGGCGGCAGAGTCTATTTACAAAGAAAGATGCATTCCGGTGAATGATGGACCGACATGGGCCAAATACATGTTGATTTCTGGTTCTCCTGAGGATGAATATGATATCATCACTTTGCAATATACTGAGGAGGGTTTATTATCTGTTGATGAGAATAGGGAGGGTCGTGCTGCAGCTTTTGGTGATGATATTGCAATTGAATGTCTTGCTACAGAGTTCAAGCGCGAGATATATGTGGTAAGAAATGAATGATCCTTCAATTGAATGTCTTGGAAGTTGCATTTTCATGTCTGTCCTATATTGTTTCCATTAACATGTTGTATGAGTTGTTGTCTAATTTCAATGGAATGGTTGGCTTTTTAATGTGCCAGGTTAATTCTTTGAAATAAATATCATTATTTGCCAACAATCCTTTCACATTCTTGCTTATATTTTAGTTGTCATAAGAGAATAAAGGTATTTTAATGGAATGGTTGGCTTTTTAATGTGCCAGGTTAATTCTTTGAAATAAATATCATTATTTGCCAACAATCCTTTCATATTCTTGCTTATATTTTAGTTGTCATAAGAGAATAAAGGTATTTTAATCATAATCTGTAAATTAACTTGGAAAGTTAATGGGAGACCTGTTGAGCCAGCCACTAAATGAATCAGTCCATGATACTCTCTGAGTATTATTAACTGGATTGATGTTCTGAGTCCTGACCTTCTGTTGCAAATGGCAATTCAGATATACTTGTGTAATACATTCAAGTATAGTACTGTGTGTTGGAATGACGACCATTTGTGGCTGGCTTGTTGAATCTCATACTTCTCCAATGGGTTTTATTATGACATGAAATAGTTGTTTGTGACACTTTGTAACGGGGAATTCGTTTCTGATGATTGAAGTTTCTTGTATTCCCCATTCCGGATAATGGCCACTTGCTGCGAGTTATCCTGTTATAGTTATTATTGCTTGTATCATGATGAAGATTTGATGATATGATCCAGATTCCTCATTCCAGATAATGTGCATTTGCTGTGAGTTATCATGTTATAGTTATTATTGCTTATATCATGGTGAAGGTTTGATGATATGATCCAGATTCTTATACAAAATTCAATATTTGTCTCTTCTGTTCTATTTGTGTACATATTTGTGAGAAATTGTCTCAGCAAGCTTCCATCTGTAATTATTTTATCATTTTCAGGTGCAAGCGCATGGTTCAGATGCCATGGTTGATGAAGAAAATTGTTTGTTTTTCCTTCCGCATCGTCCAAGGAGCGAAATTGCAGAACTTCCCTTTTTCCTTTTCATGAAAGGAACAGGTAACAGAAAATAAATTTTTTTTGGTCTCATACCTTTTTTTAAAGTTTTTAATGCTTCAGTGAGAGCTATCTAACCAATTTTTTCGCATGCAGGTTGGTGTGGTGCTGGAGCTGACCACTATGAGCCCTTGATCGCTCATCCTTCTGCCTATGTTTCCCAAGAAAAGGTTGCTGTGGTACTGTGAGCCCTTGATTGCTCATCCTTCTGCCTATAAAAGGTTGCTGTGGTACTGTGAGTGTGAGGCTTTTTAGCCTGCAATTTTGTGGAGTAGAGATTGAGTAGAATTAGAGTTTCTCCAACATATTTATGGCCCCTTTAGAATTGTTCAGCCGCAACAATCTGGTTCTCCTAAAGACTTGATTTGGTCCTGAAGAGAATCTCATTTTGTTGCATTTATTTTGTTTTACTGACATTTAGATTCAATCATCTTTGATTCTCTTGACATTTGGCAAGCAGGTATTGTCAAGCAGGTATTGTCTGCAATTGCGCTAGCCGCAATTTTGTAATAGTTTCACCGGCTTCTGTTTTGTTGTTCCTATTATCGAGTTAATTAGAGAGGGTTTTATGCCGTTTAGATAGTGTGTTCTTCAAATTGAAGAGTTCTTGTATCTCTGTGGATTTCGTCACTGTAATGAAGTGGCTTATTTTCTGGTCATTTAACATTGCAATTCAAAACCTGATGTTATTCAGTTTCCGCCTGTATTATGATAGTCTTTTTAGGTGCTCCTTCCGGTCTAAATATAAGCAAAATAGTCGTATGTGGTTTGTCTAAATTATATGACCCATACACTTTTTTTGACATTTTGGTTGGATCTAATTCTATAAAAAAAACTCTTAAGACATGTGCACAACATCATTGGTTTTCTAGCTTAGTATACATTTATAAAGATAATTTATAATATTAAACATAAGGAAGTTGATAAATATAATTTAATTAATTTATTTTTGAATACTATACAATTCTCTCTCTATATATAATGGATTTAGTTAAAAGAAAGAGAAATGACGAATTGACAAGAACAAAAAGCAGCTCAAAAACATTCTTACCATGAGGAACTAACAGGTGAGTTGAAACTTCAAAAACATTCTTACCATGAGGAACTAACAGGTGAGTTGAAACTCCAGAAGCACCAACAAGTTACAGCAACCTGATTTGATCTGGACGAGAAGCATAAACAGCTGCATTCATTAGCAACTTTGACATACATTCACCTCCCAATCACACTTCAAAACTATATTTCTTTCACTCAGTTGAGACATCATTGAGATGCAATGTAATCTTTTATAGTTCAACAATGCTTAACGTGTAAGTAAAGGCCGGAAAAATACAAAGGTAAATATCTTTTCTTTTTAAACCATAAAAAGTTATTAATGAATTGCTTAAGAGAAATTAAAATGAGTTCATTAATAAAAAAATAACTATAAACACCTGAAACTTAAAAAAAAATCTTTCCAACATGCACATATAAAACCTGAAACTTTTAAAAAAATCTTTCCAACATGCACATTTAGACTCTATGTTCTGATATTCAATAATTTAAAGGGTTTTTTATATATTCTTTTAAAAACAAATAGAAGTTATTTAATGTTTATTTAACATAAAAAATGATTTTATAAAATAAATTGTTAATACTTTTCCGTCTCACAATAAGTAATTCATTTAGAATAAAAGAGTTTTTTAAAATAAATAACACATTTTAATTTTTAATATATATTTTTTTATTTTACCCTCTAATTAATATTAGTTTCATTATTTCTAATAGATAATATTTTAATAAAAATATCATTTTATTTATTTATATATATGAAATAATAAATCAGATCACTTATTTTAAAAATGGAAAAAATAACATGACACCGGGGAGCTTATTTAATAAGGACATAATTATGTCATGTTTCAAGAAATTTAAGGGGTAAGCAAAATTAAAAATGTAATACTAACTTATGCTTCAAGGGCACATGTTAAAAAATCCACAAATAAAAAATATGAATAAAAAAAAATAATAAAATTATTAATTATAAAACTATATTAAATTTATCACACAATTTCTAAAAATTATTTTTTATATTTATCTCTTAACTTGTGTTCCGAGATAAAGTTAGCATTATCCAAATTAAAATTAAAAAAATTTGAAGGTGAAAATGGTCATTGGGAGATGGACTTTTTTTGTGTGATAAAACTATGGATTTGGAGCATATCATACCATGTTGCATATCTAACTTAGTTTCATTTATTTTTAATTAAAAACAAAAAGTTTGTATTAATGAGGCACAAATCATGCTTATATGTGTTTTTTTAAGCTAATCACAAACATTTATCATTATGATTAGTTAAATTTTTTTTTATCATTAAATAAAATTACAAGCCATTAGAATGAATAAAGATAGCAAGAAAAATAATAAATGTGCAGCAAGTTAAAGAAGAGAGAGAAAGGAGAAAATGTTATTTGATGCATTTTTTCCTCTTTGAATGTACTCTCTCCAACAAATAACTTCCACTATTTAAAGCTATAATAATCAATCATCCCCTAACTTAACGTTTATTATTTATTTTATTAATTTGTGTTAAACTCATTTTTGGTATTTCAAAATATTGAGTTAAATTTATTTTTGGTATTGAATTGAATCATCATTGATCTTATAAAAAAATTCATAATTCTTATGTGGTCATCATCCTTCTATAAGGCTAAAAACTTAAACTATCCAAGTTCACATATATTACTCAAAGGGGAAAACCCAAATCACCTCTCAAGGGGAAAACCCAAATCATCTGACAGGCAAATATAAATTATCCAAGTTCACACATATTACTCAAAGTATCAGAGTAATAAATTACCATAGAGCATCCAAGGTTCTCCATAACCACAACATGTCAAGACATATTGCACAACATTGCCTATATACAACCCATAAGTGACAGCAGCATGAGCAGCTTCCCCTAAATAGTTGCATACAACAAACAACCGCAAATCACACTAAAGCATGACATGATGTCATGACATCTGATCCAACATCAGAAACAAAAATAAGAACCATTAAACATATCAACACTTTACTCTGCCTTTTTAGCCAAAAATTAACAAAAAATAGAGTAAATGTAAACATGCAGAAATGGAAACACACAGTAGCAGAAGCTACAAACAGTTCTAATGGAAGCAAAAACTGTTAGGATTATTATTAACCCACAATACAAGAAAGAGAAAGAAAACGAAGCAGCAACAGAAACTTCATGTAGGAAGCTAGCTATCCACTCCAACCTCCTGAGTTAATGAAATTAACCCAATCTTCATCACCATCCTCGTCAGAATCATGCAATTGAGCATGTCTTTTCTTTAAGGATTTCATCTTGGTCACTAATGTTTTCCCTTTTCTAGATGCTCTAGTGGATGACCCAACTGATGCCATAACTTCAAACTCCACTTTCTTTGAATCCACATTCTTGTCCTTCTTGGCATCCATCACACGAGCCTTTTTAGCATCAACGTTCATGAATGTTTGACTTATGTTGAAACACGACTGAGTAGACGAATGAAGCGATAAAGTTTTGAAACAAAATGAGTAATATCCTTGCTTATATCGCCTGATCAATCATATATAGGATTGTTGAAAGAAGAGAAATTATCCTTGGTTAACAGAGACATTCTCTTGTTTCCTTTTTTTTCACTTTTCGCGCTTTGAATGCATCATTTGAAATTACTTTCTCCATGTCATAAAAAAACTACTTTTCTTGAGAAACGCATGCAATACAAAAAAACGTGTTTTAGGCCTCCTAAATTGTAGTTGCTATAACTCTTCAATAATACTAATTCTCAAAACACCCCTGACAGGATGATGACCAATCATAAAAATGTTTTCCAGCTGTATAGAGAGAGAATTCTTGAAACTTATGATTGTGACCAGCTTGTCACATTACAATGTCATGACATCCTGATTGACATTGTAAACTTTTAATATCCAACTTACTTTTGAGCAACAACTCCCTCAGCAAAATACTTAGACAAACACAAATTATATTCTTGCTGATCTAAAAGAAAAGGTTGTTCCTCAATGAAGAGACACCCTTAAACCAAATCAGAAGCGCACACAGAAAAATTAACTCAGAATACAAACAAGAACACCACACATTGATAAAAAAAACCATAGCTTATGAACTCAACAAGGTGCAGTTGAACAATTAAGCACAGCGTCAAGACATTTATTCTGACATCACAGAGCTTGCAGAGCAACACAAGCTACATAAGAATATGTAAGCTTTGTACAAACTAAAACCTTGCAGCTGGAAAATGGACCAAATAGGTACAAAACTCCCCTGAATACCACAACCTACTACAGAGAAAAATAAATTCTCCCAGATAATAAACATCATTGTTCACTATGGACAAACCCAAGAAATCATGAACTATCCTAGTCCATATTCTCAGAGGCACATGCACAACTGTCGCACCTCGAAAAATCTCATTCGAAAATACGACCCTCGCGCGAAAGGCGCGGAAATGCGGTTCGACAGAGTCGCCACCGAACTTTATTTTTCCCGAATAAACGGGAGAGGAAAATATCGAGAAAACCTCTTAAAACGAAAGGATAGGAACAGGGTTGTCGCAACCAAGTTCCGGGTTCGGGAGTCGGTTACGTGAGGGGAAGGTATTAGCACCCCTCACGTCCGTCGTACTCGACGGGAACCTCTTAAGGTAATTGTGGGGAGTGTTGTTTAGGTTTACTGGTTTTCTTCTTGTTGTTAAAGGTAGAATTGGTAGGTTAAAAAGGTTAAAGACGCTAAGGAAAGATGGGTGGTTAGAAGATAGGGTGCTCGCCAAGGATTGGGGCCCTTGTGCCTACGTATGCTCATTCGGACGAGAATGAGAAATCAGAGCGTCGTAGTTCGACTACGGGAAAGGATGGGGGAAAACGGAAGATGGATGGAAGTGTGCTCGCCAAGATCATCGCAATCTTGTGCCTACGTATCTTATATTCAAGAATGAATAAAGAATCAGAGCGTCCGTAGTTCGTGGTAACAACCACGAAAAGATGAGGTTTGAATAGGGTTGAAGTTGAGTTGGGAGACGAAAGAGTGACTGACAAACAACCTAAGGGCGTGCCTCAAGAGCTTGTCACTCAAGAATTCAAGGAATGCGAGATCCCAAGAACTCAGTTCTTTCGGAAATTGGGTTGAATGAGTTGAAGATA